AATATATCATAATTTAACCAAAATAAGCTGCGCAAAGTAATTTTAAAATTAACATAAAATAATGAATAACTTTTGATGTACCAGTCCATTTTTGATAATTTTACTATTAAAATGACCGCCTTGAAGAGGCGATTCCAATAAGCCCAAACTCACTAAAATCCAATCACGGGATCACGAGATCGCTAAGGTTTTTGTATTATTTTTAAACTAATCTATTTTAAAAAAATTTTTTAACCATTTATTAAATCTTATTGTTATTTTTTACAGCAAAGATATATCAACTCAAGTGTTACAATGTTGTATGCGTACATTATGATACAAGCAATAGGGGGGCTATTATTAATAAATTTTGGAAGTAGTGCGGAAAATTTGCCGGGAATCAGAAATTCGGGGCAAATTTGCCCCGAATACGGATTAAGGGATAATTAACCAAATGAGCGAAACTTTTTAATGAATTATTGTATTAATAAGTTAATAATGATTTTGCCGTAATCAAGACAATAATAACACCCGTGTAGGCTACTATTCAAAATATTAATACAATAATAAGTATATAATTAGCAAAACAAATAATACAATCAATCTTATGTTTTTTCATAAGCGCTTTCATAAGGGTTTTATAAGAGATTAATAAAAATATTTATAAGGATTGTACAATTAAATTTATATTTTAATCCCGGAATTACGCAATATCAGATAATCGGGTAAAGTTCTATGAAATGGTATCATTTTATCTAACTTTAATAATTATCAAATCAAAAATTTTCGTCTATATTCCTAGGAATTTTTCTTAATGGGCGAATGCTATTTAATCTGACTTAAATCTTTGGTGTCGCTCTTAGCCAATAAAATTCGAGAATCTGCCGTGACAAATTGGTGCAATGGGGCTACAGCACTGCAGCCAACAGTATGTTGTACTATTTCCTTAGTTTGCTAAATTTACATTTCGCATAGCTTACTGCATTTGTGCGATGCATGTTTTGTTTAATATGCGATTCACTCGCTTCTTCCGCATAATAATTTAGGCACTGAATACTGTACGTCTCTTTTCCATACTCAAACAATTGGAAATGTATCAACATGAGATAAATAGCTTTACATGTTTTTTTTCATAATAAGTATTATCGCATCAGAAGTGCCACCGTACGTACGTACGTACGTGTGTTGCTACTTTAAGTAGCACCTGACCAGATTACATGCGTAAAGATCTAATTTCAGGCGTCAAGTGCTAGTTTAGATATTTAAAGTAGCAACTTCAGATAGACTGTTACTTTGAGATACGACATAAAATATTTTTTGATAAGACTGATTATCACATTACCATTCCTGGTGCGTACGTATCGTACGTACGTACGTACGTATTGTACATCAAATTAATTCTAAATTCGTTGTGAATTGAACATTTTTTGTCCAGAGGCAGATATGTACGTACGTACGTACGTACATATAATTACTAACCATCACTAGTCTTTACTTTAGGAGTTTAGTAAATTCGATGGCAGGCGACGTAAGTTAAATCAAGTTAGTCAGATAACAATATATGGGGGTGAGTCAGTAGAAACGCACCATATTTTTTCTAAGTAAATTTTTTTGAAACTTTAAACAAGAATAATTCAACAACTTAATAAAATTTTTTTTAAACCAATTCAAAAAACTTGTAAAATTTATTTAAAAAATTTTTTACTAAATTTGGTTAAGTTTTTGCTGATATATTTTTGTTTGAAGATTCAAAAAATTTCATTAAAAAGAACATGGTGCGTTTCTACTGACTCACCCCCATATACTGAAATAATTATAAGCCCGTTGTTAGTATTTCGACAGTCATATATAAAACACTAATACAATTATGTTCTCATCTTCCTTTTTTATTTAAAAGTCAAATGAACTAGGGATGGCATCGGCTTATAATAAGCCGGCTCAGCCATGGCTTTGAGCCGAGCCGGCTCGGAGCCGATGTGACAAATTCGAATTTGTCACGTGATAAATTCGGTTGTGTCACATTGATTCGATTTTATCAGGTGACAAATTCGAATTTGTCACATGTCACATGAGCCGGCTCAAGCCGATGCCATCCCTAAAATGAACAAAAAAGAAATCAATCAGTTTGCAGATGTTGCTTTCAAAATATTTGTTGTAAAAATATTAAAATACTTTTACGTCGATTATATGATGCACCTTTCTTTTATAGATTGAAATACTTTATATTTGCAGCACTTATTATTGTATTTTTATTATATTTGGTATATCTGATTTATAAGATTATAACAGATTTTCCAACTAAATCAACCGGATATGTTATAGTTAATGAAATAGATGTTCCTGGTAAGTTACATTATCAACAGATTATAATAAATCCTAGTAAACCTCACAATCGTCATTATAGATTTAGAAATATGCTCGAATTCCGGGGATATTCTGATTTTACGTTAACTTCAAATGGGCTGATCAGACTATTACTAGGATTAATAATTGCAGTGACTATGTTATTTCTGAAGCAATCAATCTTGGTAGCCATCGAAATTCCTGCAATACATTCAAGGCAAACAAAACCATCAAATATACAAATACTGATAGCTCATTAGATGGTTTGAGACAGATTGGTTTTTATTTTAATATTCCAAACATAAGTATAGAAGAAACGACCGATATCGGTATTGCCTCTCTTTCTATACAGCTGATTTCACCTAGTGAGTAAATACTATAAGTCATTATATTTGATTTCAGTTTACAGATTTCAATACGTATTTATACACTTGAAAATGAACAAATAGATTTCAATCCACTGCTAAATCCAAAACAAGTTAAAAGTGATATGGACAAGGCCATTTTGTCAAATTTGCAGCTTCAATGGAATTTTGTTGCTGGAATGGCCAATTATGTTGCATTGGTAGAGATTTTATATTGATTTTTTGTAAATTATTTATTTATTCGTTAATTATTTCTTATTACTTTTTAGGTTAAATTTAGTTCAATTGCATATAAGACCATTCTTCCGGGAGATGTTCATGCAATAATCGGGTTGACACCAAATTATCATGTTACTTATTCTTTAGAAAGTGATGCCCATTATTTTCCTTTTAACACTAACCCATCAGGAGTACCAAATGGGACAACTGGCTACTTTTCTGTAGCTGCTAGGTAGTTTTATTCAAGAACAGACCATTGAGCAACGGTGAATTATTATTTTAAACTGAGCTTTATTAGATGCTTATTATGAATGCGATTGTGATTATTTTTTGGTTTGATATTTATTTAGTTCATACACGGTTTTCAGTGCGCTTGCGTCAGCTGGTGGTCTTACTGGTTAGTATAATTAGTTTATTTAGTTTATTTGGGCTGCATCAAATATAATCTTGATTCTATCAATTTTGATATTTAAAGGTATTCTATTGGGTATTTATGCATTTCTCTTCGGAAAATCTTTAAAAACATGCGGTCAATTCCATAGTTGGTTTAAAATGTCACCTGACAATATGATTAAATTTATACCTGACAATACGATTGAAATTGCACCTGAAAATATGATAAAAAATGAAAAATATGATGAATATTATGAATATGATGAATATGATGCTACTAATAGCATTACGAATGTTACAGATAACATTTTGAGACGTCTTGCTGTAGTTGAAAAGTGTTTGAACATTAACCAACAAAAGATGAAGGATGAAAAGATGAAGTATGAAAAGAAGAAAGATGAGGATGAAATTGAATATAATAGTGACTAGAATAACAAATAATAAAAAAAATAAAAAAAAAACAAAATTTAAATTTCACCATTTGTAATGTCAGTTACGCCTCATTTAATCGACAGTCATTTTCCCGATATTTAATTGTAATCAGCGTTAACTTTAAGTCGAGCTAACCTTAACTGTAAATCAGGTCAATCTTAGGTGTAAGAGAACGAGATACACGAGTGTCCTTCACAATTTTACTAAAAATTTTTTATGCTAAAATGAGGTCAATCATATTTTAGTTACTAGAGTAGCAGGTGGCTCTTATGCGCCACCCTCTTATTGTGGTGACATATAATATAAATTGAAATTGTAATAATTTCACTGTAAAAAATCGTGTTTCTATCATACATTAATATAATAAATAAATTGTTACAAAACTTACCACTATTCTGGTGACACATATTACGTAGTTAAGGTTGTGTTAGTTTATATTGAAATCGGCATGAATTCTATCATATATCACTGTAAAAAATACTGTTACAGAACTCTATTGACACATGGTGTGTGGTTAAGATTAAGTTAATTTGCATTGAAATAAATGATTTTTATAATAAGGCACTATAAAAAATTCTGTTACAGAGCTTACCATTCCGGTGACACACAATATGTGGTTAAGTTTGCATTAAAATTATTGTTTTTTTTTCATGAGTTACTATAAAAATTCTGCTACGGAACTTGCTATTCCAATGACACAATATGTTATTAAGTTAATTTGCATTAAAATATTATTATAAGCAACTGTGTTATGGAACTTGTTACTCTGTTGATGCAATATATGCAGTTAAAGTTAAGATGGTATCATTCAAATTAGCGTGATTTCTACCAAGAATTACTGTAAAAATTCTTACTTGCTGTTCTAGTGACATATAGTAATTTCAAATTTTGGCCATTATTCTATTGAGCGTTATTACTGAAAATACGGTCTGAGTGCTTTCTATTTTCGTTAAGATAAACTAACTATAAATAGAAATATAATTATAATTTAAAATGGTTAAACTATTTTAATTTCCTAATTTTTTTTTCCCCTGCTGTAATATGATAATAAAAGGACTTTAAACAGATATCTCCAATACTGCTCTTCATTTTTAACATATTCTTCTGGTTTAACCTGACAATTTTGAAACTTGACATTTACAAATCCAGTTTCTTCAAGCAGTGTCAAAAGAGTTTTATGACTATGCCAATAAATTGTGAAATTAATTTTCGAGTCATCATCGTCATCATTAGTATATAAAGTCACATTTATTTCATCTCCATCTTGAGGTTCATTATTTGATATCAATTTAAATGTCCTTCCATACTTTCTAGTTTGTTCATAGTCTGGTGGCCACGAATCACCAACAACAGGCTGAAACACAAAGGTGATAAAACGGGATCCTGACTACTATGAATTAGTTATAAAACTTATCAAGTTGTGAAACTAATTAGCAAATTTACCTTAAGATTATTATATACCACCTAATCATTTTTTTCAGGCTATCAATATCTTTAGCATGCGTAAATAAGTAAGTCGCTCAAACTACGTCAAACTCCTCAAGCTTGCCTATATCAACAGCATCTCTTATATATATTTGATTTTCGAATTATCAGTTTCTTCAAATTTTTTTGCGATATCGATCATTTCAGGAGAGATATTGACTCCTGTTACACTTTCTGCCCAAGCTTACCGGCTAATCTACTACACGTGCCTGTTTCACAAGTTTTTCCCTTTAACGATTCATAAGGGAGAAGTAATACCATTGCGTACAGTGCATGCATTATGTACTGACGATATTTTAAATATTCTTCGGAGATACCACAAAATTGAGAAGCCATTATGCCAAAACTTTATTGCTGAGTTACACCAGTGCTAGTACGAGTGAAACAAAGTACTTTACAGAAACCTATGTTTTTTTCTAAATATAATAATCATATAATAATAAGTTCTGTTAAGTTAATAATAT